GTGTGTTACCATACTCTCCCTCTTCAGGAAGTGGGTCTTGGGAGATTTCCATACTTCATTGTTCAATGGTCTTAGCCTTATCTTTCTACCAGGTCCTTCATTGTGATTGAGGACCATGCTCCAAGACTGCTATAACCAAGTCTCTCCAGTCTTGAGGGATAATTTTATAATTCAAGGTGAATGCATGCCATATGAGACTATCACTTCTTTGAATCTCCTTAAATCTAACATTTCCACAGGAGTCAAATCAACTCTTACACAGCCTTAGGGATAGCTATCATTTGGCAATTCCTGTAAGGTTACTGAATAAATTAAAGTTGGTTGCTTGAAAACCTTAGACTGTTCCTCTCTAACCTTATAATGCAATGCTGAAATTGGTTCTTTTTTAAGTCTCTCTGTCTGGATCTGAATATCTCTATGATCTGACTTATCATGTTTTTCTAAAACATGTATCTTAGCACTCATATTAACCAACTTTTTTAGTGATAAAACAAAAATGATAAAACTGATAATGTTTACAATTGCCATCACATAAGTCAATCATCTAAATTAGTTATTCTCTCATCTAATTGTTCCATTTTCAAACTGTCCAGCATATTATCATACAGAGACCTAACTCCCCCCATTGTATTAGTGTTTCCCATTTTAATGTGGAAAATAACTCTGTCTTTTAGCTAGTTCCTCCTTTTAAGAATTCATAATTGTCTCACCAAATCTGCCAGCAATGAATGATGATTCCGATGATGGTAAAATGCGAGAATGAATGCTGCTACGTGGAACAGTAGAAGCCTGAGTGGATTTCAAGGCAGCTGCTTAGCTCGACAGCATCCTGAGAAAGGGGTCCAGGGAAAACCCACAACCAATGGGAGAAAAGAAGCTAAAGAGCCAACTGACTACATGGGGGAACTTGCTAAAGCAGCTAACTCCCCCAGTGTTTGGAGGCCAAGTGCCTGTGGAGTTTGCTGCAGAGAGGCTCTAACAGAAAAATCCCAAATTTGCTTAGAGGCTTAGGAAAAAAGAGAGGAAAAATTAACTGGGGAGGTGGTGACTCCTTTGGGAGCACCCACATGGAGGACAGGCATGTGCCATTGTATGCAAATGCACAGACAATCAGCATTTTCATGAATTTGTGCCCCACATTGGGTGACAGATGTGCACGAATTCCAATTGGTCTTAATAATAAGAACCCAGAGTCAGATAGCAGGGTAAATGCTGAAAGGATCAGAGAAGTGGTCTCATTTCATAGCATGCTATTATCTCTGCTGGTGGAAGACTGTTTTGTTGTATTGCATTCATTTTCCTCTCCTGCCTTCCATCCACCTCTATTTTATTTAGATGCTTGGTTCCTTGAGAGGGACTCAGTGTTTGTGTAACTCTGTGTGCATTTTAAATCACACACACGATCCTGCACTGTACACCACACCCCGTTTTTGTGTGCCAAGACTGCAAATTAGCAGAGGCACCTGGCTCCTTTGCCAAAACCAGTCTGGCAGAATGACAGGCCCGAGAGAGGAGCTTGGATCTGAGAAAATAATGAAAGATCCTACGTCAAGCCTTGTAGAAAGCTGGGGACAACCTGGACCACAGGTGCAGTTGTGGGGAGCTGAGCTTGTGGGTCCAGAGGCGGAGGATGAGCAGGGTCAGAGTGGGTGGGGCTGGAGGAAACGGTTCATTTCCTTTCTTTCATTGTGCTGCCTAGACTGTCTCAGGTTCAGGCTCCCCCTCAGCCTCCCAAGTGCTGGAATTACAGGTTTAAGCTACTACACCCAGCTAGAGAACTTTCTAGACTATGTTTTTCTTCTGTTTTTTTTCCTTGAGTCTGAGAGGATGAAGCTCCAGAGATGTGACGATGCCACCAGAGCCCTTAGGATCAGAAGCTGGGACCTGGCAGCCCTAAGGAACCAGGCACAGCCACCAAGCTCAACGGTTCAATTAAACAGAAGCAACAGTGAAAAAGCAGAGACTTATATAATCAGTGTGGCCACGGCAGGAAGATAGACAAAGAGGTCCAGTGAAGCCCAAGTCCATCTTCAGGGTCTTGACATGAAGAGGGCAAAGGATGTGCCTAACTAAGCAGCCCTGGCCAAAGGTGTGCTCCTGCCAATCACTGATCCACTGCTCCGGTCACTCTCATATGGTGGTCTGTCATGCCATCAGAACTGTGTGAGTCAGATTTTTCCTAAGGCTGGCACCAGAGATTCCTGGGGAAATTCCATCTTTTGGGGACCTTCACTGAAGAGTGGGGAATAAGTGTCTGCCTAGGACATCTCCATTTCTGTCACAGTGGCAGTTGTCCCAAAACACTGCTTGGTGAGAAATGTGAGAACAATGAAGGCTGTGCCCCGCCCTCCACATTTATTCCTTCCTCTTCTCTCGTCCTTATTCATGGGTGGCAGGCCACGCCTCGGGATGAGGGTCTCAGTGAGTGCTGCCGATTCAGGTGCTTGGTGACAAGGTGCTGAGCAAAGTACCCATTGTGGTAGCAGCAAGGGGATAAAGAAAATGATGGTCTATTATCCCTCTGCCCCCTACCTGGAGTGACAGTCACCAGGAGGACAGGACATTGACTGGGCAACACAGAGCATCTGTTTCAGTCCTGCCAGATCAGGGAAGGTGTCAGCTGCACAAGGCAAGGGCAAGAAACCATCTGAAACCCATGAGTGTAAACGCTAATTATGAAGAATGTAATTACGGACACAGGACAGCTTGCTGGGCATGAGGGAGCACGCCTGTAGTCGCAGTGTAACGGAACACAGCGGGATAGCCTCTCGGTGTCTTTCTTCGCTTCTTTTCCTTTTACAGTGACAGAGGCAAGTCAGGAGAGAAGGCATGTATGCGCTCTGGCTCCCAGTTCAAGGTAAGTTCATTGTTGGTGGGGACATCAGGGCCCCAGGAGCGTGAGGCAACTGGTCACGTGGCATCCACACTCACAAGAAGAGAGCAAAGAATGCTCCCTGGTACTCAGCTCTCCATTTTATACAGCTCAGGCCCCCAGTCAGGGGGTGGTGCCAACCACAATGAAGATGGGTCTAACCATGTCAATTAAAAGAATCAAGTTAATATACACAGGCTTTGTCTGCCGGGTTGAGTCTAGCTTCTGTCCAGTCACACAGTGAGGATGGATTTGTTTTATTCCCCTGAGACACAATTTCTCTGTGCATCTCTGGCTCTCCTGGAACTCACTCAGTTTATATGTTAGCTAGATATTAGCTAGAACTAGAGAATAACACACTGCCAAAGCATTCTGAATTCAATAAATAATAATAATAATTGCCTCTTAAGATTAATTTTATTACTATTATAGTATATATATTATTTGTGTTAATATATATGATGCATGTGAGTATGAACACACAGATGCCTGTCACTGCACATGTGTTGGTCAGAGGACAACTTTCTCCCCTTCCACTGTGGCAGTTCTAGGGATTAAACTTGGGTTGGCAGGCATGTTTAATAAATATTTGTATCCCCTAAGCCATCTTCCTGGCCCGCCAACCTTCATTCCCTCTGCCCCGTGCTCAGCCTAATCCTTTTTTAAGTTTCCCTTGGATGTTTTGCTTGACTCATCGGTTTGGGCAGGAGGCATTTTTGGGGATGAGTTTTGAAAGGTGGTTGGCAGTCAGTGTGTGGGTGTGGCACTCGAAACTGATTTCCATGCCAAAGATCTTACTATTGCACAAGGCTCAGACCCCAGCATCAGGGCGACTTGAAAGGGCAGAACAACTTCATGAAACTCATTCCAGGCCTCCAGTCCCAAGTTTTCATTTCAGAGAAGGGTGCCTTGAGTGCCTGGGTTCCCAAGGAGTTATCGTAAGTTGTAAGATCACTGTTTGGGGATGGGAGGGATTTAAAATTGTTTCTTCTATTGGCCAAAATGTCAAAGAGAAACTTTCATTTAGGGGTTGGTAGGGTTTTAAAATGATTTTTAATTTCAGTTTGCCCTTATCTTGATATAAGTGTAAAGGTTAGCAGATTCACAATAGGCAGAGGGAACTACAGACACAGACCACTCACAGTGATTACTTGTCGACCCTGGTCCCAAGAACCATACCCAGAATTGGGAGCTCTCGCTGGTTCCTGCCTGCTCTTTCACAGGCAAAGAGAATCTGAAGAGCTGTCAGGGCATTTTAAGGATCTGTGCAAAGCTTCTCAGTTTGACAAGTGCGGGTGTCATAGGAGTCTATTTTTGCTAGGTGGCCAGCTTTGCACACGCGATGGTTCTGGCAGTCTTCCGGGAGTAGATCTGTGTCAGGTGCGTGGGCACAAGACGCCGTCTTCCACGATTTCTGTTTTCTTTTAGTTCAAAGGGGTGGCACCTTGACAGGAGAACTCCACTTTATTCTGCCAGCGAAGGCTTCCATGTCCCCCAGATAAGCCAGGAGAAATGGCTCTGGCCTGGGGAGGGGGAGGAGACCTGCCTTTGCCAGGGATGGACGCAGTAGTGGTCAGACACTGCTTGACTTCTGTTTCCTCTCTTAATTCCAAAAACCCTAGCAGGAGGCTCTGACAAGGGTCTCCACTTGAATAAGAGAATCAGGGCTTAAGTGGTGGGGTACTTATTGTTGGATCCAGCTAGACTGACCCGGAAGCCTGTTCTTCTGTGTGTATATGTGCTTGTGTGTCAGCATGTGCCCACACATACATACATATGTATGTACATTTATGTGTGGTGGCTGTAGATCACGCTCAGGGATAGGACCTCAGGACATTATCTACCTTGTTTTTGGAGGCAGGGTCACTCACTGGCCTAGAACTTGCTGGTTTAAATAGGTCAGCTGGCCAGGGAGCCCCAGGGACACACCTGTCTTTGTTTCCCCAACTCTAGGCTTGTAAACAAGTGTGTGCTGTATGTATGTGGGTCCTGGGGGTTGAACATAGGTCTTCATGCTTGCATGGTAAGCAGTTTATGGTCTCAGCTGTCTCTCCAGCCCCAAAGCCTGTAGTTTTAGCATGCATACTTTATATACCTGTCTCACTTCTCATTAAGAGAACACACGTGGTCATTGAAAAATTACTTTATTTGTAAGAATCTCTCAGGACTCTTTTGGTACTTCGAGTCAGGAAGTTGGATGCCAAGAGAAAGTGGGAATGGGCAATCCGTTAGTCCCAGGTAGATGAGTGTTGGGGAAAGGTCAGCCTAACTCATCAGGCTTTGGTGGCTCATTCTGGGTCATGACAAGAGGGCCCCCACCATGCCTCTAGGGTGGGAGAGGGGCGTTTTTCACTGGGGGGACTTGGCTGGGGTGCAGAGGGTTACTAGAGCAGACAATGTGTCCAGACACCGAGAAAGGCGCCTCTCTCAGCACTTAGGTGACTTTCCACTACAAAACTTGTTGGGATAGAATTGGTACTTCAAACTGTAGCTTTTCCGGTTCCGGGCAAAACATTCAGTGGCAACTTTATCACACTGGCACAGCTGTTTCCTACAGGAGTTCTGGTTTGCTGAAATTAGGAAAAATAGAGACTGAGCTGAGGGTTGTTAATATCCCATGGCTGCTGGCGGGGACCTGCCTGTTCTGAGACGAGGAAGACGGACCCTCATCTGACGGTCACACAGTCACCAAGCATGGCACTGCCAGAGGTTTACCTGCTTCCTAGACAACCTCTTCTAGTTTTTCATTGTTTTGTTTAGTTTTTAAAGACAGGATCTCACGTAGCTCAGGCTGGCCTTGAACTCTATGTAGGTGAGGATGGCCTCTACATCCTTCCTCAACATCCTGAGTCCTCGGATTCCATGCATGTTAAATCATGCCCAATGTACACAGTGCTAGGGATGGAACCCAGGCAATCTTGTGTGCTAGGCTAGTACTCTGCCAACTGAGCTACATTTCTGCTATCCCCTCTTGCTAACAGACCTGCTTGTATGAGGAAGCCCAGCCTCTCTGGTCTCGGGATGGATGGACCTGGTGAAAACCGGCGTGGTCCACCCTTTCTCCTCGGCAGGCATTGATCTTAAGGTAGTATGCTGCTGTATTCTGAATACAGTGCAAAAAGAGGAGGTCCACAGGGGTTGCTGAGCAGTGTTCATTGCCCTCTCTAAAAAGTCTCAGTGAGAGAAAGTTGTCTGTGGTTGGAGGACAGGAGGGCTCTTGGAGCTATAGTGGGTCTTACAGTATAAGCACAGATGTTAGCAACAGCCCAGAGCTGAGGACGCCTGATCCTGGGCATAGAAGTTGCCCAGACTTGGCACCACACAGGGCTAGAATTCTCACAGGTTGTGATGTTTCCAATCTGACCATGGCCCTTTTACACCAAGTGTCACTCCCCTGCAGGCAGCAGGCTCCTCCTCCTTCCCGCCCATCCACCCAGTCAGGGTGAGCCCTCTGTTTGCAAAAGTCTTCATTGTTGTTTTTCCAAATAATAGGTCCCTGTCGCTGTAGTCCACAAACTTCTAGACAATGGCCAGGGAGCCCGGGCTTGACCTTGTCCCTTCCTTGTCTCACCGCTCAGACTCATCCTGTGTCCATCGGGCAGCACCGAGTAGCCTATGGTTCTCTCTGCCCCTTGGCCATGCTGTGCCTTGCTTGGGGATGGCCCACCTTCCTCTGCCACTGTGTGCCTCACTGACTCTTTCAGGATTCAGCTTAGATAGCGCTGCTTGCAGGAGCCTCCTCAAGTCTCAGGTGTGCAAAGGTTCTCTCTGCCTTCCCTGAGTCTTCTGTGAAGATCTTAAAGGAGGGAGGGCTAAATTCCCCTTCTCCTCCAGCAAAGTGCCCAGCATTTGTGTGCTCAAAAAAAAAACCCAAAAAACAAACAAAAAACAAACAAAACATGTGAGGGAAGCTTGCAGGCATGATGGGGTCTTTCTTACCAGAGCAGGTGATTTTGCCCCCTCGGTAGCTGAACTTGTAGGTCAGAAATTTTGTGCCACAGCCCCTTTTCTGTAGACGGTCGTAGCAACAGTCATGAGCCGCACAGCACCTGGTTGGGGACACATCCTGTTAAGGCTGCCTCTCACAGCCCTGCAGTCCTGCTGCCTCAGTATTTCCCTTGACCTTTGACCCTGGGCAGAAACTCAAACTCCAGAGCAGAGTTCCTAGTGTGCTGACTATTTTGCTGGCAGGGATTCACCAGGGCACTGAGGCAGGGGATACCAGGTTTGTCCTAGTCCTGTCCCCACCAGGGCACTGAGGCAGCAGGGACTAACTCTGTCCTAGTCCCATGCCAGCCAGAGTGAACAAAAGATAAGGTGTCCTCACCGATCTGTCGCATCCTTGGGGGATCCTCTGCCACCCACGCCACAGTGACAACCATAGAAGGCATAGCTGGTGTCAGGTCTCTTTCCTGTCTTAAGCAGGATCATTTGCCCAAACTCGGCAATGCTGGCTTGGATCTGGATTGGGCCTGAAAGGAAATGGAGGAATGGCTGGGGGTGGGGTGGGCAGTGAACCCCGTGTCTGTCCTCTGCATTGGCATCTTTCTCCCCACTAATGGATGCCTTCCTCTTCCCACTGTGCCAGGCCTGGGGCAATGGGAAGTAATGCAGAGGATGGGCTGCCCACTCCTCAGAATACCCCCTCCCTGCTGAGTTCCGAGTCAGCTCTTACCAAAGACCATGATCAAGGCTGCTAGCAGCAGGAGGACCTTCATGTTGTCAGCCTGTGGAGACCAAGCACAGAGGGACTGGCCTGGGCATTCCCTCCCAGGAGTCTCAGCCTCTGCCCCAGGCCCTGCTCTGCTGTCTGGTTTAGGCACCCTAGAGCACACACGTGCTCTTTCATGGGTCTGAGTCATAGAGTGCATACAGAGTGGCTTCTGACAGTGCATCATACATGTCACCTCTCGTCCCTTCCTGACTTTGTGGCATGCTTTCTCATACAGAAATGATAAAATACTGGGATACACCTTGTACCTGCTTCGTTCCTCCTGGGAGTCTGGACTTACTGCACAGATTTGGGAGGTTGAAGGCAATGGCTCTCCTCATTGGATACTCCACCTGCTTCCTTACATTAGATCGAGGCTTGGGAATTCCATCCATGGAGTCTGATTCCCAGTGTCCTTGTCCCCAGCTAAAACTGCACTTTCTCTTTGCAAGCCTTTCTAACCCTGTGCAGATCACATGCATGCACACATGCTCTCGGGTTCTCCCTCAGCACCTTCACAAACCCACACAACATGCTTGCACACAGATACTGCCTACTACATGTTTACGTGATGGGGGCTCACATCTACATGCATGTCCAAATGCACACACATGCATACATTCACCTACACAACCACTCAAATGTAGCCACAGGGCAGGATTTTCTGGGCACTTACCTCTCAGATGATGCTGCAGTGTCTTGTTCAGGGGCCTGTCTGGTTTTCCTGAAGTCCAACTGCCCTTAAATAGCTATTCCTTCTGCAGGGTTGGGGTTGGTGAGGCACATGGATGGAGAGCTGGGCGTGTCAAATCCTGGCCTCATAGATAGGCATATCCAATGCTCTTGGAAATCCCCTCTTTTCCCCCTCATCAACTGGCAGGACAGCCGTGAGTGCTGGAAAATCCTTCGTACCATGGGGTGACACGGTATGAATTTCCTGCTGATTTTGAAACCTCCCCAGCTGCTGAGAAAGTGGCTAAGTTCCTGGAGGAGGAACTTTCCATAATTTAAAATGGGTGTGACCAACAGGTCACCTCTCAGCAGTCACTTCCAGGACTTGGCAAGGACTCTGTCCAGAGGTGAGAATGAAAGTGTTTGTAATGTTCCTTTCTCCTGATCAATTGTGACATTTGGGCATAGCAAAGGGGACATTGGTTCAGTAGCATTTGTTCATTTCCTCCATCCACCATTCAGTCGATTTCAGAAGGGACATGCTAAGCCTCTGTGAAGCTTCTAGGCTGCACAAACCTCTTGAGAGGTGATGAGGACAATGCAGGAATCTAGTTCTCGAAGTCCTACTGTCCACTCCAGCAAGGGAAGGGTTGAATGGGGTGGATTCTGAGCCCCCAATCTTCCCAGCACCTCCACATCCTCTTCTTCCTCCCCTCCACGCTCCTCCCCATCTCTCATCCCGTATGATTTTCCTGTCTGTCTTACGTGTCTGTGGCTGCTCCTGTGTGTGCAGATGCATGTGTGTGCAGCTGTGTGTGCATGAGTGTGTGCATGAGTGTGCATGTGTGTGCAGCTGTGTGTGCATGAGTGTGTGCATAAGTGTGGAGCTTAGAGGACTACCTTGGATATTGTTCTTCAGGGTTGTCCACCCTGTTTTTGGAGACAGGCACTCTCATTGACCTGAACTTCTCAAAGTAAGCCAATCTGTCTGCCCAGCAGTCCAGGAATCTGGTCACCTTCCCTTCCCCAGTACTGGGATTACAAATGAATGCTATCACACCTGGCTTCTCTACGTGGGTTGTGGGGATTTGAAGTCAAGTACTTGGGACTGTAAGGCAAGCAATTTGCCAACTGAACCATCTCACCAGTCCCATATGAATTTTTAAACCTGGAAAATATCCAGCAGCTGTTCTTGATTTTATCAAACTGCGGACACCGCTGTCTCTCCTTGTTCTCACCTGTTTGGCAGTGGGCTTCTAAATGCTCCTTGGGTTCATTGGGTCTCTGTTCTCCAGGCTTCGGGATACAATTATTCAAGAGCCTTAGTTCCTAATGTAAATATCCTCCCCCACCCTCCAACCTCTGCCAAGAATAAGGCTTCTGTTGCTTTATGGCTTTAGCAAACCACCCCACACCAGTCCTTCAGACATTTCTACAGTAGAAGCTATGGGGTACCAAGGCACTCCCTCTGTCCCTCCCTCTTTCCAACCAATAACAGATGAGTATCTTAGACCTGCTTAGACATGAGCATGGTCTCAAAGGGTCACATCCAGGCTGGGACAAACCCAAATCAGATGCAACTCGTGTTCTTTCTGTGTTCCTCTTGAAGGAACATGAAAGTCTTCTGGGACACTGAGTGGTAGAATGGAGGACAGCTGCTATTCTGGAACATTCTGGTATCCTCAGAGGATCTAGTGTGAGTAAGAAGTGAAGTATTTTTCTATTAAGTATTTGATAAACAAGATCATTGTGTCATTATATAGGTTATGTTGTGAGTCACTCAAGCGGATATCTTCCTGAAAATTCAAGTTTACTTCATTTACCAAAAGGCAGATTTTCATCCAAATGTCATTGGTTGAATGGTGTCCCCCTTTCCTGACCTCACTTGCTGTTCAAGCCTTGAAACCTTAGACTATAACTCTATTCGAATATAGGGTCCTGCCAGAAATGAATAGTAAAGATGTGGTCATTAGAACCCTGACCCTATATACCTTGATATCTTTACACAAAGGAGCATGTGCGTTCAGAGACGGGTTCAGAGGGAGACACTTCTGCTACCCAAGGAGTACAAGATGCCTGCAAAGTACAGAAGGCAGGAGAGTCCTGGACAGACTGACTCTCTCTGAGCCCTGATAAGGACCTAACCATCTGGGCTCCTCCCGTCTTTGCCTCAGAGCCCTGGGCCAACCAATTTCTGCTACTTCTATCAGCAGGGAGGGAGGTAGAGTCAGCACCCCAGGAAGTGTAGCCTGGAGAGTTCCCTTCCCCACTTAGTGCTTTGTACTCAGGTGAAGCTGGATTCTCAGCTTTGCCGTGGAAGCATATCCAGCCAGTCCAGCAATGAGCAGGGCTCATCGAAGTACTCTTAAAGCATAGACCTTAAGCACAGAATTTAATAGAGAAGCACCCAGAAGAAGACCGAGATGTCCTCAAGTGTGGGCATGGGCTTCTCACGGGAGTCACTCCTTGGTCCCATGTGTTTCCAATTTCCATCACTAGGTGTAATTCACAGCGAGTTGAGAGGTCAGAGTTTCCTTTTATGAACAAAGTTGTAAAGTGGATTTATAACAGGTGTTGATGGGAATAAGAAGTGCTAAAAATCAAGGTTAGAAATCACTTTGTCTTTAAAGTTTTCAGTTGAGATGTCGTTAGGAAAAAAAAACACGAATCACATCATCTCTGTGGGCAGTTCTGGCATTATCAGTGGTGTGTGGAGTCTCCTGGCCGTGCTAGCAGGAAGGACAAAACAACCAGATCAGGATGAAGAGTTTCCTTCTCATGTCACCCCAGTTTTGGGTCTTTCTTTCTTGCATCATTTAGACTACACATTTTGGGGGATTTTGCTGTTATTAGAAAACTGCAGTGAATACTTCCCTGGCTGGGGAAACTCCATGATCATGACGGTGATTTTCTCAGAGATGCTTATCCATGCCACTCTGGATGTACTGCTTCCTGCGAGTTCCCCAAGTGAGGGAATCTTGACTATAATTTGTGGTGGTGGGAAGTGTTTATGCTTTCCCATAAAAATTAAAGAAAGAAACAGACAAGATGAAGTAATGCACCCTCCAAAGATCCCTGCAAGCTCCTGCTTGCCTTTCAGTCCAGATCCTGCCCTGATGTGAAACCTACATCAAGGTCCAGGGAGATCTAGTCCCTTTCAAAGACCTCATCCTGAGGTGGACCATCCCCCTTTGGTTCAACCTTGAAGGCTCTGGAGCACTTACTACGCAATAGGTAAAAGCTGCCTCCCACCCCTCCTGGTGACCCCAGCATGTCCCAGCTTTAGGAGTGCATCAACACTAAGGACCCTGGTGACACCAGATGGCATTTCTTATTTCTTCAGCACTTTTTCTCAGAATTCTGGCCATTTAGTTATGTTTCTTCCACTGATGCATAACCTTAGCTCTTGGACATCATTAAACAGGACAAGATGCCTGCTCAAATGGGAATCACGTGCTGGTTGAGGGTGATAAAGACAAAAATTTGTTCTCTGATGAATAGATTCAAGAATCCTCAGCAACGTCCTGCCAAACAAGATGCAACTGTAGATTAAGAAGGTCACACCCAGGATCAAGTGGAATTCATCCCCAGAATACAAAGATGGTTTGGTACAAAGATCTGCAAATGGATGAAAAAATGCATTGTTTATCTCAAGGGAGAGGGAGAAGCAAAGCCATCTGGCCATCTCAACAGATATAGAACAGGCATTTCTTAAGATACAACCTATTTTTATGATTAAAAAATACTTTCGCCGGGTGGTGGTGGCGCACGCCTTTAATCCCGGCACTCGGGAGGCAGAGGCATGCGGATCTCTGTGAGTTCGAGGTCAGCCTGGTCTACAGAGCAAGGTCCAGGACAGCCTGCAAAACAGTACAAAGAAACCCTATCTCGAAAAAAAAATACTTTCAACAAATTAGATAAAATGCAAAATCTATTCAGGAAAATGCCTTAGCCAATGCTCTACCATGGGAAGCTGAAACCGTTCTTAGACTAGACAAGGAATTGCCACTCATAACCAGGCAGGATAGAAAGAAGATTGAGGGGGTGGGAGAGGGAAAAGAAACCCTTCGTCCTGAGATCTGGTTGGTTCATCCTTCCTGCTGGCAGACTCAGGAAGCTCCACACACCACTGATAAAGCCAAAACACCTGCAGAGATGATGCGAGTTTTCCTTAAGACATCTCAAGCCAAAACCATTAAAGATAATGAGTAAACTAAGCAAACAGTGCCTGCTCTGGGCTCACAGGACCTGTAACCCCTACTCCGTACTTCTTCCTGACCACACCCTCATAAATCCACTTTACTGGTTCCCACATAAAAGGCAATGTTTTACCATTTGACTCGCCGTGAATGATTTCCTCCTAGTGATGGGAATTAGGAAGCCGAGGGATTAGATGTGCAGCCATGGCCAAGACAAGGGGTGACTGTCCCTTGAGAAGGCCATTCCCATTCTTGGGTCTGTCTCACTGTTCCCCTGGGCACAAATCTAAGTCAAAAACACTTTTTAATTAACTCCAACTCTACACCACCCTGAAATTCTTTTCCATGATGTAGCCAGGAACACGGTTTTACTTCAGTGGAAGTCACTGAGGGGGAATGGAACGGCTTGGGCTGCAGGCAGCCACATGGAACCACTTGGTTAATATAATGATGTATGTGTTAGTGTGTCAGAAGAGGAATGGCAACCCCAGAAGGGTGGTGTAGACTGCCATCCCCAGGACATAAAGGGGAGAGATAAGAAATGGTGGGGGTAGGGAGAGGGGGAGTGGGGGCACAGGAGGGTGGGAGGGAAGGAGGGAGGGAGAGAGAGAGAGAGAGAGAGAGAGAGAGACTTTTAAAGATTCAGATAGATTCCCCTTCCTGGCATAGCCCTAATGATTTCCCTTTTGTACACAATCTTCCTGCGTTTCCATCATTTCACAATATGCCACAGGCTGGGGACCAGACCTTCATCATTATGGCTTTGTTGTTGTTGTTTTTTGTTTTTCGAGACAGAGTTTCTCTGTGTAGCCTTGGCTGTCCTGGAATTCATTCTGCTTTCCCTGCCACAGTAGGCTGCATTCCCTCATACCACAATAAATCCCTCACCCCTAATGTTGCTTATGCTGTATTTGGTCAGGGAACTGAGAAGATTAATTGCTCCATTTGCTGATGCTAGAAGTATAAGCTTGGATGGTGTGTTTTTTGTCAACTTGGTACGGACTGCAATCACCTGGGAAGAGAGAATGTTAACTAGGAATTGCCTTTATCAGATTTGTCTCCAGCATATTTATGCATTATTTTCTTGGTTAATGATTGATATGGGAGTCCCAACCCACTCTGGATGTTGCCACCCTGGGGCAGGTAGTCTTGGGTTATAGAAGAAAGTGAGCTGAGCAAGTCATGTGTCCAAGCCAGTAAGCAGCCCTCCTCCATGGCCTCTGCTTCAGTTCTTGTCTCTAGGTTCCTGCCTGAGGTCCCGTCTTCACTTTTCTTCCATAATGACCTGTAAGCTATAAGAAGAAATAAACCCTTTTCTCCCCAAGTTGCTTTGTAGTTCTGATGCTTATATCACAGCAATAGGAAATAACCAGGTCCCTTGGGGGAAAATATTGGAAAACTATTAAGATTTAAATCTGAAATGTTACCCACAGACCATGTGTTTGAACACTTGGTGATGGGGGATGTCCTTCTGTATGCTGTGAATATATGTTTCTCTTATTGGTTGATGAATAAAGCTGTTTTAGCCAATGGACAGGCAGGATGTAGCCACACAGCAAGTATAGGCTACTAGATAGGAGAAAGCTGGGAGGAGGAATGAAGAGAGAAGTCTCGAGGGAGATGCCATGTAGCTGCTGGGGAAGAAAGATTCCTGGCCATCACCAGCAATATAAGAACACTTGGAGATACACAGATAAATAGAAATTGGTTAATAATAAAGAGAGAGCTATCCAATAAGAATCCTGAGCCATAGGCCACAGGGTTTATAACTATTATAAGCCTTTGTGTGCTTATTTGGGACCAAATGGCTGCTGGACCAGGTGGGACAGAAACTTCCATCTACAACTTGGTCTCCAGAGGGTGGTATTGTTAGGAGGAGTTTGTGGAGTTTGGGGGAATACAGCAGCCTAGTTAAAAGCAGTCACTGGGCGTGGTCTTGAAACTGCTGCCAGTTTCTGGTTCTTGTCTGAGCTTTTGCTTCCTGGTTCACCAGGACCTAGGAAGCTGTTGTGATGTACTCCAGCGGCCATGAAGCTGCTTCGACATGTCTCTCCCTCTACCATGGACTAACCCCCCCCCCCAATCTGGGTCTGTTGGGTATTTAACCACAGTGATGAGAAATGCCTGAGACAGAGAATGAATAGCAGGGTTGAAAACACACAGGTCCCCGGCTTTGATCCTCATGATGGTCTTATTAAAAAAGATTTAACATCATTCTTATGAGGACACTGATGAGTCCAGGAGGAGGCGGTTCTGCTGAACAAGTGTCCTGGCTCCAAACATCCACTGTCAGGTACAGGACCAAGAAGTCCCAGGTTACAGGAGACGAACAAGTTACAACCTTAGGAATGCCCAGTGTATGTTATGAATTCTATGGGGCAAAAGCAAAGACAAAATAAAGAAATTTATATTTAAGGACATTATTGTCCTTACAATAGGAAACTTGATTGTTAGATAGCTAATGGATACCAGATAACAGTATTGTTAGTGCTAAAATTCTCCATGGTCACAATTTTGCTTGTTTACATAAAATACCATTTTCTCATCAGAAGAGAAATGGGGATTGATTTAAGGGTAAGTTTCTACAAATTTCCCTTAAGTAAGAGAACAGTAAAATATTAATAATTAAGTTATTAATTATTAATTAATAATTCTATAACTTTCAGCAGATTTCAAATTTTTTATAATGGAAAATGGAATTTGGGAGATACATGAGTTCTTGATGACCCATCTTTTCCTTTCTTTTCCCTGTAGTTGTCTTTGCTGGGCAAGGAGGGGCTGTCTGCTCCCTCTGTTGTGCTAAGCATATCTGTCACTCACTTGGGTGATGTTTTTGGTGACACGCCTGCTTGTGTACAGTGTCCAGGATTGAACTCTGAGTTTCCCCAGAGGCCATGGCTTTCCTTTGTGAATCTGAGCCCTAGCCAAACATTCCCACATAGATTTTCCCTTGCTAGCCAGAAAAGAATTTTGGAGTAATCAAACTGAAACTGGTGCTTCTCTGCCTCTGCTGTCCTGGCTCAGACCCAGCATCCAGAGATGCCCTGGCCTCTCCAGTGGCTTCAGCAGCACTGATTTCCCCTCCACAGCCCTGGGAGCCATCCCAACTGAAGGACCTGTGCTCAGACTCCTGGGCAGGGCAACACTGAAGTCTTCAGACAATCAAGGCACTTTGCAGCCCCTCAGGTAATTAAGAAAGTTCCAGGACAGGCTCCATGGGGGTTAGTCAGGATTGAAGGGATTAGCAAAGGCTTGTGACAGGGATAAAGCTGTGTGACCTGGATCATCTGGGACTGGGCCACTCCCCTCTGGTGGAATGTGCTGGGAACTGCCCAGGGCCCTGTGGCAGAAGGGCCAGTGCTGTGCCAGGCTCTGCTTCTGCTGGACTTTCTGCCATCTTGACTGCTGCTGGGGGCTGAGCGGGGTGCTTGCAGGCCAGCGTTCACTGTGTGCTCCCACAAACAGCACCTCGGAGTCTGGGCTCCTATCTAGCAGCTTGTCGGCCCTAATGCTTGGGCTGCAGACCATAAACTTGGGGATCCAGACCCTGACTGAGGCTGCTCATGGGGACAGGCCCCGGGAGCAGGAGCTGAGACCAGGCCAAAGAGGTCAGTTATGAGGAGAGAGGAGCCTCCAACAGAGGAGCAGGGGCTGGAGAGAGAATCTGGGCAGGTGGGGTCTGAAGAACCCAGGAGGGGCCTGGGTAGGGTGGGCACAGCTTCTGCCAGAGGAAGGTCCTAGGGTTCAGGATCCCTTACAGGGGTCTTTGTCAGACCAGGGCTGGGGCAGTTCCTGAGGCAGGTTGTGTCTAAAGTAGGGGTGCT